CCTTTCAGTTCCCATTAAATATTGTTACATATGCTGCACATGGTTGCTTTCTTCTTATTTTAACAGGGTTTCCTTTCAGTTCCCATTAAATATTGTTACATATGCTGCACATGGTTGCTTTCTTCTTATTTTAACAGGTTTCGTTTCAGTTCCCATTAAATATTGTTACATATGCTGCACATGGTTGCTTTCTTCTCATTTTAACAGGGTTTCCTTTCAGTTCCCATCAACCAATTGTTACATATGCTGCACAATTTAATGTGCACTGAAAGGAAAACCCTGTTAAAATAAGAAGAAAGCAACCACGTGCAGCATATGGTTCTGTTCTGCAAGTAATCATATGCAGTAGGTATTGGAAGAATAATTATGTTAAAAAAACATACACTGCCATATCAAGCACGTGTAACTAGTTATCGTGCACTAGATGGAAAGAACCATTAATACTAATAAATAAAAGGAGCAGCTATACCCTACAGCATTTTAGAAGTTCTGGAAGGAAAGGCCTATTAAAAATAAGAATAAAACCAACAAACAAACACAGCATATTCAACTGGTGCTGGAAGGCATGCAAACATATGTGGCACATCACTATCAAACAAGATTTATAACTATAATACCCATAACGAGAACAGTTCATTTATAATCTAAACATTTTTCTTTTTATCATACATTGTTCATTATCACCATCATCTCGTCAATATTGAATCCAGGTTATATTAGCTGGAAATAATCAAAAGATTTGTTTTCACATAACCAACTTCTAATACAGAGGAGTTGATATGTACTTCTGTTAACCTGAGTTGTGTTAGTCTAGGTTCATTTCTAATTATTTTACTTCGGGTAAGAAACAAATCTGTTTAGAAACTAAATACCTAAGATAAGTTTTAAAAATCTTGTTTCTCCAAACAAGTCCAAAACCAAATATCAGTTTAAAAGTAATTATTTTTTCCATAATTACTAATAGATATAGGATTTATACATGCAGTTATAAATGTTCCCCATTAATACAGAATACAAAAGGAAAATCTTCATGAAGATACAATTCATAATTCACTATATATGAAGTGATTTTTGATCTGAATCCAAGTTAGAATTAAATTTGTCACTAAAGCTCTTTGATGAATATTTAAAAGTCCTATTTTTCTATGAAAAGACAGCCAGTTGATTTAACACTAACTACTGTACAACATTACTACCGAAGACAAGGATTACAGCAGAGAATGAGCGGTCATCTTCGAATGGAAACATTCTTTCTTGTAATGAAGATGTTTTCTCAAAAATGTTCTGGTGTTACTAAAAACAGTGAACTGCTAGATCAGAGAAAGAACAAACAAAAAAAAGAAAGTTTCTTAAATGGTTGTGTGTCAGACAGATCTACAGTTACAATTCTCAAAACAATAAAAGACAACTTATTAAGTAGAGAAACTGGGTTGTCTAATAAGTTGTTACAGAAAAAAACAAGAAATTTGACAATATTAAAAGTTATTCTAGGGTATAATGTAGATAATCACAAAGGATTTTAATAAAGCTTTCCACTCGCACAAACATTAACCACTAAGTTGTGAAGTCATTGGATAATCTTAATTTTAACATTTCCTATCACACAAACATTAACCACTAAGTTGTGAAGTTATTGGATAATCTTAATTTTAACATTTCCTATCACACAAACATTAACCACTAAGTTGTGAAGTTATTGGATAATCTTAATTTTAACATTTCCTATCACACAAACATTAACCACTAAGTTGTAAAGTTATTGGATAATCTTAATTTTAACATTTCCTATCACACAAACATTAACCACTAAGTTGTGAAGTCATTGGATAATCTTAATTTTAACATTTCCTATCACACAAACATTAACCACTAAGTTGTAAAGTTATTGGATAATCTTAAGTTTAACATTCCCTATCACACAAACATTAACCACTAAGTTGTGAAGTCATTGGATAATCTTAATTTTAAATTTTCCAATCACACAAATATTAATCACTAAGATGGTCGAGTTTATTTTGTTGTAAAGTACATAGTTACACAATGAGCTATTTATGCTCTGGCCATTGCATGTATCAAAGCAAAGCCTGTTTTTTTGTTGTTGTTTTTTTGCAAAATATTTTTTCCAACTTAGTTTTCATTCTCACGCTTTCAGCAGAGCAGAAAAAAAATGAAGAAGAATTTAATGAATTACAAGAATTATTTCATGATAACTTTTTTGTAAAGTTGGCAATCAATAACTATAACACAAAAATTAAAACCCTAATGCCCACTGTTAATAATATAAATGTGAAGGGTTAAGAGAGTGTCTCTCTCTGCAAAATACTTGTCATCATAGCTTTAGCACTTTTTTTTATAAAAAAAAAAGAAATTTTAACCAATGATTTTTAAACCCTCTATTATCCCTTGTTTTAATAGTAATTTTGGTGGGTGTCACGAAGCACTGTTCTTTGCGAATGGACATTAATCCCAGGAAAGAAGAAATATATATACATTTAAAATTTTACCACTTTTTGTGACCAAATGATTTGCTAACGTATGTATTTTCTTTTCAACTCAAGCACAAGTTAGGAGTAATCTGTGCTTCCATGGTGTCGATTTCTTTACTTTGACACTCACGAGTTGTTCAAAGTTCTATATATTGTCTCAAGAACTGCAAAAGCTTTAGTCATAAACATTACAGATTAAACAAAGAATTATGAAGGACATGTAAAGCAAACTTTTAACATCTTTGTCTTGGGGAAATTTTGATTTGAGGCACTACATTTTTAGATGATCCCTATATTAGGCTATAATTTAAACTTTCTTAGCAGACACATTGACAATGGATATGGTTTCAACCTGCCTATCATTATGTTGAACTAACAAAATAATGCTGTTAAATACAATCAACACTCTAACTGTTACATGAAAACAGTAGTTTTAGAGATATGACTTGAGTGAAGTAATAAAAATGTTAGCATGGATGGCGAGTCGTGAACACATGCACAAATTTACCAATATACTTCCCATTGAAACTTCTGCCAATACCCACTCCTGTTAAAAGTGGTAGAAAATTTTACTTTTATTGTATTCAAAGTTCAAAGGCAGGAATGAGTCTGTGTATAGTTTAAAGATGGTTTCTTTTTATAAGCTGGAGCGGTACAATGTACCTCACTTGATGTAGCCCAAACAGTGAACTCAATTGTGTATATCATTTAAGGACTTTCAACTACTAACCTTTAATGCCAGAGACTGGTAGATAAAGTTTGTCCTTGAGGGAGCTGGGACCAGGTACCTGGAGATTGCTGGGGAGCTTCTAATCCTATGGGCTGTGCTCCTCCTGTTGGTATTTGTGGCTGGAGGTTACCCATAACTCCCCAAGACTGGCCTCCCACTTGGAGTGATGCCATTTGATTTTGAATCTACAAGTGACAAGATAAATATCACTAGAGGATTTTATGACTGTGTGTTTTTATTGCAATTTATCATTTGAATGAATACAGCTCCTGGATACTTGAACAATGAATATTCTACAGAACCTACATTAACTCTTAACTACTCAAACAACAGCATAGTCTACAAAACCAATATTAACTCCTGGCTAATTGAACTATGAATATTCTACAGAACCTACATTAACTCCTAACTACTCAAACAACAGCTTAGTCTACAAAACCAATATTAACTCCTGGCTACTTGAACTATGAATATTCTACACAACCTACATTAACTCCTAACTACTCAAACAACAGCTTAGTCTACAAAACCAATATTAACTCCTGGCTACTTGAACTATGAATATTCTACAGAACCTACATTAACTC